AAAAAAAAAAAAAAAATCCTTGCCTCCAAGGAGCATCTTGGTTTCACCTTCTGTAAAACTTACCTGTTAGTTATCTTGGCAGTACAGTTGGTTCAATACTCTTCAACAGCACCACAACTCAATTCTTCTTCTGTCATACCTAGTCACTGTCCAGCTATCTGAGGCATAGCAAGTAAGTGCAAAGACAATGGCCTGGATTAGGTACACCTTAGTCTCTAGACTTATATTGTTGATCTGTCCCAGACAGTGGATTTTCCAAATGCAATTCATCTTTTGATTTGCTGACTACTGGTGCCAAGAGTTATTGAAATATAGCTCAAGTAACTTGGTTCTGCTTTACAGACCGAACCAAACAATGAGCGACTGACAGATTATTTTCCTTAACTAACTAAAGTTAATTGTATGGCTTCAGAGGTCCAAGTGCAGGTAGTCCTCAATTTCCTCTCTCTTAACACTGTTCAAATTCTCCAAAAATGTATAAATCATTTATCTGTTCTCTGCTCTCCTGTTTAAACAGTGGTAACATTACAGAAGATCTCTACTGAACTACTATATTTGTTTCCTGGACCTAGTCCTTCTTATCTAAAGTTTTAATTTCACACATTACCTAGCACATTAACAGAGAACTGCCAGAAGGGCATGCTGGGTTTAGAAGAGGCTAGGAATATTATAGCAAGAGTAGGGATATTATAGCTAATGTCAGATGGATCTTGGCTGAAAACAGAGAGTACTAAATGAATGTCTATCAGTGTTTCATTGACTAACTCATTTGACTGTGCAAACTCATTTGACTGTGTGGACCAACAAACTGTGGCTAACTCTGAGAAGAATGGGAATCCCAGAACACTTGATTGTGCAAAACCTATACTTGGACCAGGAGGCAGTCATTCCACTGCATGGTTCAAAATTGGGTAAGGCGCACACCAGGGATGTCTTATCTCCATACCTTTTCAATCTATATGCAGAGCAAATTATCCAGGAGGATTATCCATGAGGAGAAATGTGGAATCACATTTGGAGAAAGATGGAAAGAATATGCAGAGTTTTGGTTGGTAGCAAAGTGCTGTAACCATGGCACCACCACTGTACCTTCAACTCTACATAATAAGGGTGCCATTTCTTGAAATGTTTGTTCCTGTTATAAATATAACTTGCCAACAGTCTATTTACTTTCATTTTTTATTCTATCATTGTTGATGTGGATCTTGGCTGTATCTGTTTGTATTTTACGCAAAAGCATTTGACTGTATGGATCCTAACAAAAACCTTGAGAAGAATGGGAATCCCAGAACACTTGATTGGACTCACTCAAAACCGATACCTAAATCAAGAGGCTGTTATCTGAAAAGAGAAAAGGAAATTAGGAAAGGTATGCATTAGGGTTGTATGCTTTCTCCTAATCTAGTTAATCTACATGCTGAGGATATGATTGGAGAAGCTGGACTAATGAAAAGGAATCATCAAGGACCTTAGTGATGCCGATGACACAATCTTGCTTGCTGAAAATGAAGTAGACTTCAAGCACTTGCTTCAGAAGATCAAAGGTACAGTCTTCAATATGGATTACATCTCAACATAAAGAAAACATAAATCCTCACCACTGGGCCAAAAGATAACATCATTGCAGGGAGAATTAAGATTGAAGTTGTCAAGGATTTTATTTTGCCTGGATCCACAATCAACTCCCTTGGCACCAGCAGTTGTCAAGAAATCAGAAAACATGTAGCACTGGGGAAATATGCTGTCAATGAACTCACCAAAGCGCTAAGGAGCAACAATATTCGTTTAAAGGCTAAGGTACATTTAATCCAAGTCTTAGTCTTTTCAAGTACTTAGTATGCATCTGCAAGTGTGGTATGGGAGAAGACTATGAAGATCTCATGGAATGCCAAAAGAGCAAACATGTAGTGGAGACGGTGTAACCAGGGTGTTCTTTGGAGGCAAAATAACAAAGTTTCAACTCATATATGTTGTTAGGAGAGGGCTGTCCTTGGAAAAGCACAGATGCTTGGAAAAATCAAGGGTCAGCAAAAGAGAGAAGACCCTCAACAAGAAGGACTGACAGAGTGACAGTAATAATGAGCTCAAGTATATGAGAGAAGATGAGAATGGGAATAGGATAAAGGGTCAGAATCTATTACTCACTGGGTCGCCTTAAGTTATAGTCAACTTGAAGACACTTTATGACAACTCCTACTCACTCTTTAGACTTCACAATAATATCCTAACTTCTGGGAAATTATCTTGGATCCTACAGACTAAGTTAAGCACTGCTTTCAAAACTGTAATAGTTAGGAGCTCTGGTGGCCTAGAGGTAAGAAGCTATGCTGAAATCTCAAAGACAAAGGTTGGAATCCACCAGCTGCTCCACAGAAGGCTGGGTAGTCTCATCTGGGGTGATTAATTGCCTCTGAAAACCTGTGGGAGGGTCAGTTAAGGGTCGGTTCCGACAACAACCATAACAATTTGTCTTTCATCCATTACCCTTTATTATATTAACCTGTAAAATTATCTCTTGATAGATTTGAGTCTCAAGGCAGAGGTTAATTTCCTTTAATTCCATACTGCACACAGTAACTAACACATGTCAACTAAGAGTAAGAACTCTAATTTGCTCCCATCCCAGGACGAAGGTCTAAAAATGGCACCAAAATCTAAATGAGTGAAGCTACAACCTTTGTACAGATTTTATCTAAACACAAGTATTATTTCTTTGCAACATTAACTTGCATCTTAATTCGTTATCTAGATGTTAATTTGCATCATCATTTCTACTAAGGTGTTGAAAGGCATTACTGCTTCACATACACAATCAGATTTCCTTGAATATCAGGTCAGTTTCTCAAACCTGAAGAAAAACGGTTAGGAGTGTCCTGCCACCTTCGGCCCTAACTGTTCACCAGTGTTTCTCACACTACCAATTCATCAAGGAAAATGCAATCCTATTCTCCCACGAGAGACCTCAGAATAGTGCATATAAAACCCAGAAATTCTTAGAGACGCTGGGTCCTCTGGCTGAGAGAAAAGAAATTTGTATCAGGGAGGAGGACAGAGACTAATTTCCCCACGTACCAAGAGAGGTGGCGCCGCCTCTGCGCGGTCCCGCCCGCCCAGGGACGCAGCCCCGCGAGGGCAGTGGAACCCTGAGCTGCACGGAAGCGTCCTTGGGGTCGAGGACTTGCCTCTGCCTGCCGGGAAAGCTCCGGGCGTCCGAGACGGCTGGCGGAGAAGTCGCAGCGGCACCCCAGCGGGGTCGCTTGGTACAGGGTTCACAGCTAGGGCCAGCACTCATGCTGGGTCCCGAAGCACACAGCCCCCAGGCCGGCCCGGGCACAGAACCTCATTCACTAACCCTGGGAGGGTCGGACTGCGCCTTCTTTTCGGCGCCTCTCTGCACCATTCCCTCTGTCACTGTCCGCTTCTGCAGTTGCTCCGCTGGCCTCCGACGTCGGGCCTAAGCCAGTGTTCGGGTCTCTAGTTTGCACACACGGCCAAACACCCTCAAACTTCACCACTTACGTTCCTTGCCTTTCACCACACCGAAAGACTGTAATCAAGCGCTTCCGGCTTCCGGGGGGGTGTACTGTCGCAAAGCGGAAGTGTTGCGCTTGCCGGGCGCCGTTCCCCAAAAGGTCAGCGCGTGAAGGAGTCGGTGGAGCTACAGTCTTTTGTTGTTGTCGTGGAGCGAGGGTCAAGCAGACGAACTCAACCTGAGTGGCGGGCAGAAAACAGGAGAGCAGGGAGCTGCGACACCATGGATGGTGGCGGGGGAGGCAACAACAAGACGACGGGGGGATTGGCCGGCTTTTTCGGAGCAGGCGGCCCAGGTTACTCCCACGCGGATTTGGCCGGCGTTCCGCGTAAGTATTGGCCTAACAAGCGAGTATTTCAGACTGTCAACCACCGGCTACTTTAAACATAACATTTGGTTTTTCTTCATTGTTTTGTGTGTACGTACCTAAGTCTGGTGATGGGACAAGAGTGTCGACGAAACCATTCTTTCAATCTTGAAAGGTTTATGGGGCCTGTGAATTCTCAAACTACTTTCCGAAGTCAAGTAGTCTGCCGGTTTTTATATCTAGCTTCATAACCTTCTTTTCCACATATATCTTTTTTGTGTGTGGTGGGCCATCTTCTTGTCCCTGTGCTAAGGGTCGGGTGTTACAGCAAACGCACCTCATATATTAGGCCCGATGTTAACTTCTTAGCTTCATGTCCTAAAATCCTAAGGTGCCGTTTAGAGCAAAACATTCAAAGGCGTGTGGAAAAGAAAAAAAAAAGTGACTTAAATATCTGAAGGTGCCCTACAGTGAACTGAACAAAAGTTGTTTGTAGTCATGAAGTTAATTAATTTCAGAAAGAAGATCATGAATGCAGAGGCACAGTTACCGTACGTCCTGTCTTCAGTCCCACGTCATTGGTAGCTTGCAACTTTTGATGACTAACAGGATAAATAGAAGCTGGATGTTTAAATACTTTCCAAGACTGTTTTCAAGAACTTACCGAGCACTTTTTTACTAAACCAACTCTTCACTGATCGACATGGTTAATTAAGTTCCAAAGACTAGATCTTTATGCAAAAAAAGAAAAAGGTTGGTTAAGTAATTGTCAAACCACTGAGAAGGATGGTCTAGCCAAAGTGAAACCTCAGCCATCCTAGCTAGCATTATTCTCATCTCAGACATCAGCATTTATTACCGTGCTACAAATTGTTACTGCTACCAAACTGTTACCATAATAGATTTTTACCATTTTCATAATGTGAAAAGTCAGCCAGATAATGATGAGTTGTTGATTGCCTTGCCTTTGAGTCGAGCATGACTCAGTGACCCTATGAGCAAAAGGCCTTAAGACCCTTTAAACTATCAACATTTATCGAAGTTCATATATGGAGTTTCTGGAGGCATGTTATTTAGGAAGTGGATGCCACTCCTGCTTCTAGTGATGAGTAGTGGATGTATTTTAGGTCATTTATGCTTATTTGTAACTATAAAAGGTATCGTGAAATGATACTGTTATATTGCACTTGTCATATATACCATGCCACCTGTTTCCAAAAGTTTAAGGAGGTCTGAGTTTCAGAACATAATGCTAATATGACAAAGTATTTTCACATTACTTTGGTTACAATACAAAGATAAATTGAGACTAGAGGGTGAATACCATTCATTGGATGATAATGCCAAGTGGTTTGGGACTAAATACTACTTTTAGGAAGGTTACATCTTACTGAGGTGAGCCAAGTAACGTTGTTGATGTTACCTACCATCAAGTTGCCAAGTAAAAATTCATTTCGTTGCTGTGTACCATCACATAACTGACCCACCAGCTGATTTTCAGAAGAATACATCCCTTCCGAAGAGATTGCCTATCCTCCTACAGAGCAGCTGGTGGATTTAAACTGTGTGTCTCTTAGTTGGTAGCACTACTCATTTCCACTAAGCCACCAGAACAGCTCCTTCAGTTAATGATAGGAAAGAAACAACTATGAGAAGGTGGAGAGGAGAGCATTTTAAAACAGTTAATCAGGGGAAAGCAGCTCTGTATTGGACAGGTAGATCTCATCTAAACATAGTGTTGCTATCTGGAAAACAGTGGCTTATATGCAGATTCCCTCAGACAAAATAAACAGCATATTAGAATAACATGTTACCAGTATGTCTGCCAAGTTTTAAGGGAGGTGAAGTGGTAGAGAATGAGACAAGAAGAAAAGGGCAGATAATAGTTTGATAAGCCATAAAAAGGCATATAGATTTGGTTATAAGCGTATAGGGAAACAATTAGGGAGCTAGTTTTCCTTTTCTTAAAAACTACTGTAGTTGCTATGTAGAAAATAAAGGGGCAGGAGGAAATAAGTAATCCACTTAGTAGACTTGGTTTTGTTGATACTTGATGATTGAACTAGAGATGGTGCTGAGGATAAAACATAAAATCTGTTTAAGGCAGAAATCTGTAAGAAAAGGAGCAATAGAATAGTGGTATTACTACAGTCCTGTCAATGAAAAGAACATGTGAGACGCAGAAAAAACATGTTATTTCTGTTCCATTGAGTTTCGACTCTCACAAGTTGCGAAGTATATTAAAAGTAGAATTAACAGGACTTTGTTTCAATTGAAGAAAAGGCAAAAATTAGGAGTAATACATAGATTTTATCAGCCACCAATTGAGGTACAGGTGAGTCCAGAGGCAAAATTTAAAATTTAAGGAAAGTTGGTTTTGCTGATAGATTTTTCCCATCTTCAAAATGAATGGAATTCCAGGCTTAACATCTGAAAACTTGCATTTTTTTGATCCCAAATCCCATCCCTGAGATACTGACCAAAGAATTCTCTACCATGATGATGATGATGATGTTGTTGTTGTTACTATGATGTGCCATCAAGTCACCTGCAATTCACAGCAACCCTATGTACAACAGCTCTAAAGCCTGCTTGGCTCACTGACTGACACACCTACCCCAATTGCCCTAGTTACTGTATCAGTCCATCTCATCTGTGGTCTTCCTTTCCTGTACTGTCCCTCCACCTTGCCAAGCGTGTTATCCTTCTCCAAGGATCAGTTCCCCTTGACCCCATGCCCAGAGTATGTGAGACAGAGCTTCAAAATCCTAACCTCCAACGAGAAACTTGGTTTCACTTTCTTCAAGATAGACCTGTGTGCTTTCTTGCAGTCCATGGTATGTTCAGGACTCTTCTCTAGCACCACAACTCAAAGGCATCAACTCTTCTGTTGTCCTTATTGTCCAGCTCTTTAATACATAGCATGTAGTTGTGAAGACCATCAACTGAATCAGGTGCACCTTAGTCTCTAGACTGACATCATTGCTTCTCAGTACTCTGTACAGGTCCCTGACAGCAGATTTAGCTAATGCAATTCGCCTTTTGATTTCCTGACTGTTGGTGCCAAGAGTGTTGATTGTGGAGCCAAGCAAGCTGTAACTGTTAACAACCTCATTGTCTTCTCCATCCGTCATGGTGCTGCCAATTGTCCCAGCGGTGAGAATCTTTGTCTTGACATTGGGCTTCAGTACAGTACAGTTGAGTACAATTTTTCAGGTTGTCCTCAGTTTCAGCAAGCAAGGAAGGTTGTGTCATCTGCATGATGGAGGTTGTTGATGAATCTTCCTCCAATCCTAACGCCACATTCCTCCTCTCAAAGCCCAGCCTCCCGAATTATCTGTTCTAGATTGAAAAGATACGGAGACAGGATGCACCCTTGAAGCACTCCCATCCTGATTTTGAACTACAATGATTAATCACTAAAATAATTAAACAACACATATGCTGTAAGAAGCTTAACTAGTGTTTTGCCATAGAAATAATTTGTTTCTTGGCAGTCTTTTTATTAGAGCCCTCTCCTTCCTCTCCCAGAATGGCTACTGAGATAATCCAATAACAGGAAACAGCAGTCCTGCTTTTTCTCTCTATGAAACCACCCTACCCCCATTTCCCCAGGAATGTTATCTGAGACCCCAGACCACTTCCTTGTCTTGAAGGAAGCATCTGTATGCATCCTTTCCCCAGTTCCCGTGGGAGCTAGTCTTCTGCTTGAGAACCAGCCTGGTACTTTCTCCTCAGTAAACTATCTTTTGTAGCCTGCACTGGATTCTGTCCTTCCTCAACAACCTTACACTTTTTACCTTGTAAAATTGTCAAACATTCTTGTGGCAGAAACTTTGTTTTGTTTTTTTGTTGTTGTTTTTTTTTTTTTCTATAGGTTAAAAATTTTTTTCAAATCTTCGGTAATTCACCTTATTTTCACAATTTGACTAACAAATACAGATAACCAGCAGATAAGTTTGTCTTTCATCAAATAATAATTGTAGGCCTGTTATTAAGAAACTATAATTCGTTATATTCTGAAATTGGCACTTAATACAATGTTAACAAGTTCCCCTAAAATTTTCAACAATTAAAATAAAGGAGATACACAATTTAGTAATGTT